AGATATGAAAATCATCTTTCATGATTTCACAAAAGACAAAAAGACACATTTCTGGTTTGGGAGGGGATGAATGTATTTTGTGCATCAGTCAGCAGAAGGATTGGAGTGATGGGGGAAAAGAGTGACTATTTGGAATTCTTGTCATGAAAAATATCTCCAACTGCTCAGCTAACTGATGTCATGTCCAGACTCCTTGAATGTTCTGACCCTTTCATATCACATGTAATCACTTAATGTCAGTTGAGAATGTGGTGCATCTGATCACACCATACGTTCTCATTCAAGGATGTTCAATCTCCCTAAGAAGTGGTATATCAATCTTGTTGAGGACATCTTCATTGATTAACTTCTCATTAAGTTTATGTAAAGGATGTATAGAATTATAGTCACTACGATTATGTAATGATGAAATATCTAGCATCAATTCTGAATAATATCGGGTCAAAACTAATTCTCTTCCAGTATCCTATGCAAATATTAATAAAATATCAAATCACCAAAATGACATCAAAGAGAACAAGACAATAAGAAAACCAAGACCTTACAACTCTAATAAATGATTTAAAAAGTCTAATAGAACTACTAAAATTTAGTATATCACACATAAACCAAACTCAAAACAAATCCTATCTCGTCAACCTCAAACAAAAAATCTATAAATACAAAACAACTAACTCCAAAAACCCGAATCCAAAATACAAAAATCCTTTAAGAAATAGAACTCTTCAAACCTTCACAAGAATCAAAAGGGTCATAAAAGTTATAACAATCCAGTAAGAACCAAGAGAAATGGACATCAGTGAATAAAACTCTCTCCCATCTCAAATAAGGGAATGGTGTCATTATCCAGACAAAGATTGCCTAAGAAAAAAGAACCTAATGGAAAAGCAAATCAAACCAGATCAAACAAATGGAAACAAGACCTTCAAAGGACAAAACATGACAAGAAACAAAGGGCTAACTGACCTGAGAGTATAGAAATTATGGATACTTCACCCACTAAACATAAACCAGACAAGCAAGACCTCTTAACACCCTAATACATAAACATTATGCAAAAAATTATACAGTGGAATTGTCGCAGCCTAAATGCAAACATAAATGAACTACTCCTACTCATAACAAATCGACTTCCTGCCATCATTTGCCTTCAAGAAACTTTCCTAAAACTTAATGATAAAATAAAAATGAAAAAAAAAACTATACTCAATATAACTACATACATGACACTCAACAGAAGGCATCTGGGGATGTATTGATCCTAATCAGAAATAACATCCTCCAAAGTAAAATTCTTCTAGAAGCCAATCTACAAGCAGTTACTGCAAAAACTACTCTACATAGAACCATTAACATCTGCTCTATTTACATCCCACTTCACAATCCCATGATAGAAACTGATTTAAATAAACTAATAGAACAACTACCAAAGCCATTCATATTATTAGGTGACTTTAACATTTATAATGTTATATGGGGATACAAAAAATCGAACAAAAAAGAAAAAAATCTGGGAAAGGTAATTAACAATGAAGACTTAACGTTTATTAAATGATAAGTTTAATACATATCTACATTCTGCATCAGGTACATACTCAGCTGTTTGATCTATCACTGTGTGGACCCCCCCCCTCTATTTTGATGGATTATAGTTGTCAAGTTCTTGAAGATACATGCAGCAGTGATCACTACCCAATTATACTGAAGAGTTCAGAACCAATTGAAAACCATCTCCCTCAATGGAAACTAACAAAGCGGATTGGTGGGAATATAAAAATCAATGCTGTCAAAAACTTACCAACAAAGATGACAAAAATATCTATTGAATATTTCTCTGAAACATTAATAGCAATTGCAAGAAAATGTATACCAAAAAGCAGTGAATCGACTAAACATCAAAGACTGATTTGACAAAAATTGCAAAAAGATTACGTAGAGCTGCACTACGAAAACTTAATACTTGACCTACAGCCCATAATTTAAATCTATTCAAACAAAAAAGGCAATAGCACGTAGAGCCATCAAAGAAAATCATGGAGATATTCATAAATAAAATAAACTCCAATACAAAACCAAAAAAGTTTGGAATATAAGGAAAATCATTGGCAAAAATCTATCAACCCATCTAAATCCCCTTTCCCAAAATAACAAGCAAAAAGGATGTAGCAAATTTACTTGGTGAAACCTTTAAAAAAAAAATTCCTTCAGCGAAAACTACAAACAGCAATTCCAAAATGTTAAGTATAATGCAGGAAAAACAAAGCTGAACTTTAACTCAACAAAGAAGATTACGACCATCCTTTTACTCTAAATGAATTTATAGATGCCATAAGTGAATCACATGGTACAACTACTGGCCCAGATGAAATCCATTATGAATTTCTTAAACAACTTCCTCCAAAATCCTTAAAATATCTGTTAAACATCTTTAATGAGATATGGTTTAAGGGAAAACTACTGAATAGCTGGAAATGAGCTACCATGATCCTTATACCAAAAGCAGATAAAGACAAATCGGACCCAAAAAACTTACAACCCATAACATTAACAAGTTGCATATGCAAAACTGTAGAAAGAATAGTAAATAAAAGATTGGACTGGTAACTCGAAACAAATGGTTTAATCACCAGTGTGGATTCTGAAATAAAAGAGGCACCATAGACAACATAGTCTATGTAGAAACTTTCATTAGAGAGGCTTTTATTAAAGAAGAACATGCAATAGCCATATTCTTTGAGCTTGAAAAGAAACTATCAGATAACATGGAGACCTGGAATAATGAAAAACCTATACAATCTGGGATTAAAGGGCAGATTAACCAATTTGATAAATAACTTTGTCAGATAGAGGTTTCAAAGTTCAGGTAGGATCAACACTCTTGGACCCAAAAATCATTGCATCCTGTCCGTCACTCTTTTTAATATAAAAATTAACATTAATTGCTTGAATCAAAGAGTCGATGGTTCATTATACATAGATGACCTGTTGATCTGCTACAGATCCAAAAATATGCACACTGCAGAATGACAACTGCAAGTGTACCTAAATAAATTAAACCAATGGACTATTGAAAACTATTTCAAATTCTCCCCAACCAAAACAAAGTGTATCCATTTATGCAATCTGAAAGAAAAAAAAAATGCACAATGATCCAACTTTTAAGTTTAAAGGAACAGAAATTGAAGTGACTGACCACTATAAATTTCTGGGAATCTTTTTTTTTTTTTTTTTTAATTTCCTCCCCTCACTTAATACATAAAACAAATGTTTCAAAGCATTACAATTACTACGGGTCATTGCTGGCACTGACTGGGAAGCAGGTCACATATCACTCTTAAAATTATATAGAACTCTAGTAAGAACTAAATTAGACTACAGTTGTTTCATATATGGGTTGACCTGGAAATCTTGCCCAAAAACCCTTCACCCCATTCACCATGCAGGATTAAGACTGGCTCTTGGTGCCTTTAAAACATTACCCATAGAAAGTTTATACATTGAAGCCCATAAGGCACCGTTAAAATTGAGATATGAGAAAAACTGGCATTACAATATTATCTAAAACTTGAATCCTGTGCAACTAACCCTGCCTAACACTGTACCTTTAACCCTAAATACAAAAATCTATTTGATAAAAAGAAAATGCTATCAAACCATTAGACCTTTACATGAAAAATCACATCAGCAAAACACAAATCCAACACTAATTATTAAAACCACCAACTCAAAAAACACACCCTGGTTAAATACCCTACAATTCTACTAAGCTTTACTAAATACCCTAAAATTAATTCTAACACCCAATTACATGGAAGAAATTCATAATGTTCTATAAGCTCATTCAGATCATAAGCATATATACACTGATGATTGTAAAATCTTGGACAGAGTTGGATCTTCTGCTATCCTTAACAATATAACAATGCAGAAAAGATTGTCTGACAAAGCTTCAATCTTCAGTGCAAAAGCCTCAGCCTTACACTTTGCTTTAGATATTATAGAATCCAGTGGGTCAGATAGATTCATCATCTCAGATTCACTATTCATACTCACAGCTCTGAAGAATAAAAACATGGGAAACCCTTTAATAAATAATTAAATAGGATTGACTCTATAAGGAAAAAGATGCTGTAATATTCCTATGCTGGATACCAAACCATATTGGCATACAAGGTAATGGAAAAGCCAACAAAATGGCAAAGGAATCACTGAACATGGCCCTCCCAAATGTAAAGGGGCCACACACTGACCTCTAACCCACCATAAGCAGGACCATTAAAGAAAAATGGCAGCAATAATGGAACAACTGTGTAGACAACAAACTACTCAACACCCAACCAATCATCAGTGAAAGACAATCAAGTTACAGAAAGATAAGGAGAGAGGAGATGGTTCTAGTTAGACTCCATATAGGACACACATACATGATCCACCAACATCTAAAAAATGAGGAACTACCAATATGTATCCCATACCAGGAACCATATACCGTTAAACACATTTTCTACTAAATTGCTATAATTTCCAGCAAATCTGAAACAAACTCTACAAATCTGATAACTTAAAGGATCTATTTAAAAATACCGATCCAAGTAACATCATAAATTTCATTAAAGAAATTGGGCTCTACAGGAAAGTATTAAAAAAAAAAAAAAAAATTTACCAAATCTGACTACCTACATTGTTTTGCAACCAATTTTTGAAGGAAAAATTATTACCAGGAATACATTTTTGAAGGAAAAATGTATTACCAGTAATACATTTGACTCTCAACAAAATCCACCTTTACAAAATGTCAATGACACCTGATCTACAAAATGATTCCTTATAAAGAATACATACTCTATTCATACGAACCTATACGAAAAATCTTGTCGGCATTAAATGAACCTTTGAGGTTATGCCATTTAAATAAACCAAACCATACATACATTTTTTTTTTTTTTTTTTACTTTATTTGATCTACTTTATTTGATCCTTTTTCTTTCAATCTTTTACAGGAGAGGACAGACATGTTGGTTTAAAATCAAGTATGCGTCAATTTGATTTTGATGACATACCTCAACCAGAAATGTCTTATGTTGGAATGCTCACCCCACCACGCACACTCACATTAGAAGAACAATTCCCTATCTTAGAAGATACTACAGAACCTGAGCATAAGCAACCGACAATGACAGTGCTTAAAAATGGGTTTGTATTTCTCCTTAGTCTTTTGTGAGAAAATGGATGGAGTTTTTCTTCAGTGAATACCTAGAATTTTTACAGTGTCAATGAGCAGGTTTTTGTATTTGTTTAAATTCAGTAAGAAGTTTCTGCAGGAATGATTTTATTTATTTTGATTCGTACAGGATCCTTAATCTTTATTTTAACTATTGGTAGAAAACCTAATTTCTGAACTGAATTTTGTTTTTTATTTTGCTGAAAACTCTTTCCATTAATAGTTTTAGTTATGCAAAATAAGTCTGCAATAGTCCAGTGATAAATACAGATACAAAAGTCTCTTTCTCCTTAGAGTCATTTCATTCCTGCTTCATAATTTTTTTTTTAATTTTAATTGTTTAATTGATTTAATTGTAAAATTAAATGTAAGTCTATGAACATTATTTTATTATTAGAGTGAATATTGAAAGAAAACTACCAGAAATTAGGTTTTCTTTTTGTTTTTTTATACTCAATGGACACATGAAAGGATTTCTTTTCTTTTTTCTTTTCTTTCTTTTTTTTTTTTCTTTTTCTTCTTTTTTCTCTTTTTTTTTCTTTTTCTTTTTTTTTTTTTTTTTTTTCTTTTTTTTTTTTTTTTTCTTTTTTCTTTTTCTTTTTTTTTTTCTTTTTTTTTTTTCTTTTTTTTTTTTCTTTTTTTCTTTTCATCTTTTTCTTTTTTTCTTTTCTTTTTTTTTTTCTTTTTTTCTTTTCTTTTTTTTTTTCTTTTTTCTTTTTTCTTTTTCTTTTCTTTTTTTCTTTCATCTTTTTTTTTCTTTCATTTTTCTTTCATCTTTTTTTTTTTTTCTTTCATCTTTTTTTTCATCTTTTTTTCTTTCTTTTTTCTTTTTTTTTTTTTCTTTCATTTTTTTTCTTTCATCTTTTCTTTTTTTTTTTCTTTCATCTTTTTTTCTTTCATCTTTCTTTTTTTTTTTTCTTTCATCTTTTTTTTCTTTCATCTTTTTTTTTCTTTCATCTTTTTTTTTCTTTCATCTTTTTTTTTCTTTCATCTTTTTTTTTCTTTCATCTTTTTTTTTCTTTCATCTTTTTTTTCTTTCATCTTTTTTTTTCTTTCATCTTTTTTTTTTCTTTCTTTTTTTTTTTCTTTCATCTTTTTTTCTTTCTTTCTTTTTTTTTCTTTTTTCTTTTTTTTCTTTTTTTTTCTTTCATCTTTTTTTCTTTCATCTTTTTTTTCTTTTTCTTTCATCTTTTTTCTTTCATCTTTCTTTTTCTTTCATCTTTTTTTTTCTTTTTCTTTCTTTCATTGGTTAATTTACATGAATGGAAATGAGATAAAATTACCACTTCAACCCAAATATCTTGCTATATTCCTTACCAGAGCAAAAACATTAGTGCATTTACTTCCTTTTTTATGGAAGAGCATAGATTGCTGGTAAACCAGAAGTTATCTGTGGTTGGACTATAAATTACCAAGAGGAGTCACTGTGTGTGATTACAAGAAAAGTTGTAGCTGACAGATGGCACACAAGTCGACACCCAATAAGTATTGCCTTGGTCACCATGGATGGTGTTGAAAGACCTGAAACCCTCTAATGAACTTTAGCTAAAAAATCTCCCTGATGTATGCCAAAGCATAAAACCTATATTTCATGAAGTTTGAAATTTCCAGAAGTTTATCCAACCTGACACACACCCAAATGCCAGAGGGCATAATGGACAAAATGTTGTGGTAATAATAAAGGTGATGATAACAGCTTGGTTGTAAATAATGTAAATTAGAAGTTGGTTTTTAAAATTTATTAGATTAAGTACTTTCTATTGATTTTATTACTCATTTTACTCTGTCTTATTGTTGCTTTTATCACAACACTGACAAAGTAAACATGAAATCAGAAATTAAGTAGTAGCTTTCAATGAGGCGTCTATGCCTTGAGCTCCCTTTTCATGGATGTCCTCTTAATCACTTTAGCTGCAGAAGCTTAAAATCAAGAAAAATTAATAGTAATAAAAAAGTTTTTTTGGCTTGCCACAACAGTCTTGTAAAATGGCATCTGACATGAAACAGCTATCACTGAATTTCTCCATGTGCCAAAAATTTTGGCCATTGATATTCATCATTATTCACAGAATATTTGTGGAACCTAAACAATGAATGGGAGTAGTTAGGTGGTGGACACTGTTTGAACAATGGTGACAGTGATGTGTATGACAAACCATGTTCAAGTTGCTATGCACTGTTGTCAACTTGTTAAAGGGGTCTAATTCTGCCACTCAGTTTTCACCACACATTTTTTTTTTTCTTTTTGCCTAAAGATGTCTGAAGCGAAGCTGGTTGAAATGTCCACATGAAAGGGAAAGAGTTATGAGAAAAAAAAGAAAGCAATTTTTAGGGAAAACAACCGATTTTTGCTTGTAGAAACAATCGGATTTGTTTGAATGACAATTACCAGATTAACTCTTCCCAAATTACCAATACTGTGATTTTTTTTTTTTTAATTTCACCCCAAGAAAGACAATAATGCTACTAGGATGCAAGTAAATTGAGAACTTGCTGCCAGTCTAGGACTGTGCTTAAATTCTAGATACCATTTGATAAAATTTCATCAAAACAATTACAATGAAAGGATTTACCTGACTATGGCGATTTGGTGAGTTTTTAAGAATTATCATCATTTATAACACAACAACAAGTAATGCTCTCTCTCTTGGCAACTGTTAGTCTGTTCAGCAAGTCACTTGGGGAACTTTGGTCTTGGACCTTCAGGCCAAGTTGTTCTCCAGACCTGGTCTCCAACACTCACGAGATCATTAGTTTGCAAACAAACACTAATCTTCAATTGATCAATTCTTCTAGCACCATCTTGTAAGGGATGGTAAAGTGGGAGGTCATGTAAAATTGCATCATCTTCCCTGGCAACAAGACTACAATGGTCTAAATGCAAAAATCACATTCCTTCTATTAAGGAAATCCAGTGTGGCTGGGCTGGGGGTTAATTTGATTATTGGGTGAGAGGGGAAACATACTTTTATCTTTTTTTCTAAATTTTTTTTTTTCTTTCCCCAAATTTGGCCTACCAATGAAATTTTCATATAAGAATAAGTTAAAAAAATCAAACAAAAACTTCTCACCACTGCTCTTTGGGTGGGTTTATACATCAACAATTAGCTCTCCTTGGCTGAGTGGTCAGATTATTATAATTTTCCCCAGCATCCATTTTCTTCTATCCACCCACAGTTTCAAGTCTTAGAATATTTTCCCTCTTATGAATTGCCTTCACATTTCATAGACAAAAACATCAATGATTGACAAATAGAATTTGGTTTTTAGCTCTCCAGTCCCACCTTAACACTTTTCTAGTATTATATTAAATATCTGACAGCATTACCAGGGATCATCACTGAGCTGTCTCATTGAGAAACACTTCAATCCTATAATTCTAAAAAATATATGACCTATCAAGAATGTCATCTACTTTCAAGATGATTCTGTTTTGTTTAAGCTGACACTCATCCTTAAAGTCATTTTGTCCTGGGTAAACACCCAGATCACATAGTTTCTTTCTTATTAACATCTTGTTAAAATTTCACTTTCTTCAGGCTTTTAACTCAAAATAATTCACTTATTAATGAAATTTGTACTAGTTCCTAATAGAAAAGGAATTGCAAGTACTAAATTTAATCAAATTAAGCAAGAAATAAATGAGCCTATTATTAAGTTTTAATGTCTAAAGCATCTTGATCTTGTTGACTTATTAATTTAAAATGCATAAGATTAATTTTGTTCATGGGATTATCAGTCTTTGGAGACTTAGACTAAAGGCTTCAAGATTTATTGTTTAATCAATATTAAGCTCATATGATTGAAGATTCAATTGTCCTCATTGTCGCCATATTTATCACGTTTTGGCCGAATTAACAGGAGATAACTGATAACTGGCATCCATTAGACATGGCACATGAAACTAGACCAGTCTTCCCCAGTGAGCGAAATAAAGGGTTCAGTTCGACATTCCAACCACCTGAAGAAGGCCGGAGCATACAATAGCCGAAACGTGATAAACATGGCAACAAAGATGATAGTGAATATAAATGTCATTAGACACTTCAATATGGTGTAATGGTTAGCAAGCTTGTCTTGCTAGATCAATTATGACTGAATAGTGAGTTTGATCCTCACTTGGTGCCCCACAATTTCGGCCTTGTGCCACATCTAAGCTACACTTGAAAAATCACTATATGACAATATAAATGTCATTATTTACAAGAGGAGAAAATGGGTCACTATATACCAAATAGCTTTTAAGACTTTGAGAGATAATCTCAACTGATGTCGATATGAAGGGAGTGTGGAGGAGTTCTCGGTTTGACTAACTTGCCAAAATCAGTATTTCGATGACCAAACACCGGAACACTATTTGAAAAGGTTAAATAAACTTGAAACCATGTGATAAACATGTTGAACTGTATGTTTAATATTTGGAATAATATAAATTTCATAGCTCTGTCATTCTTGGTTGGAGAGAAACTTCTTTGCACCCTCTCTAGTATGATCCCCCCACCAGTCTAACCAATTGTATGTATACAAGAGGGTGCTGAAAAGTTTTCAGTTTAATAGGCCTTTTTTTCTTTTTTTTTTTTCTTTTTTTTCTCTTTTTTTTCTTTCTCTTTTTTTTCTTTCTCTTTTTTTTCTTTCTCTTTTTTTTCTTTCTCTTTTTTCTTTTTTTTTTCTTTTCTTTTTTTCTTTCTCTTTTTTTTCTTTCTCTTTTTTTTCTTTCTCTTTTTTTTTCTTTCTTTTTTTTTTTTTTCTTTTTTTTTCTTTCTCTCTTTTTTTTTCTTTTTTTTTTTTTTTTTTTCTCTCTTTTTTTCTTTCTCTTTTTTTCTTTTCTCTTTTTTTTCTGTCTTTTTTTTTGTCTTTTTTTCTCTTTTTTTTTTTCTCTCTTTTTTTTTCTCTCTTTTTTTTCTGTCTCCTTTTTTTTCTGTCTTTTTTTTTTTTTTCTGTCTCCTTTTTTTTTCTTTCTTTCTTTCTCTACTACAATCTCAGATATCATTTTTTTGCAGAACCAAGCAATACAGACTTCTGAAGCTAGGCTTTATTAAGGCTTGAATAATTATTAATATTATTTTTACATCATGCAACAGAAATACCTCCCATATAATGCTAAGGCATTATCTAATGTCTTATGTGTGAGATATCTCTGCTGTACCCTGTATATGCGTTCTTGGTTGGACCAATAGCTTTTCAACACACCTTGTATCCTTAACAATGAAGGGAAATAGAAAACAGCAAGCAAATCTTGCATTAATTGAAAATAACCTTTAGTGTTAGAATATAATTGTACTTGTGGCTTCATTAATCCTCACCATCACATTTTTAGTAAATAATTAATACCAGATTTTTATAATTATTTAATAAAATTTTTGTGTTAAAAATTGTGTAATATTTGCTTTTCATGCATTCATTCTTTTATTTAATAAATTTTTTTTTTTTATTGTTGCCAAAATTCCAATAATTTTGTATAAGATGTTTGCTTTTTTTTATCTCTATAAACTGTGCTGTCTCTTGTCAGAAACTCTAGGGGGAACAGAAATATATAAATTTTTAAGGGTACATCTACCATTACTCAGTCAAATACAAATTGATTCTAACATTGATTTAGAATCTTTTTGTTTTTCATCTCAATAGAGAAAATGATTGAAATATTTTATTTCTGTATCTAAAGTAAATTTCTTAATTACTATACCTGCTTTTGTAATTCTGTGCATGATGATATTTCCATATGAAATACAAATCAAGTAGGTAAGGAGATTTGCTAGATCTTTGTTTCTAACTAACCAAATATTTAAAAATGTTATTGATGCAATACTTTAATTGAATTAAGTTGCTCATGTCTTATATTTCTTAATTGTTTTTAGATATACAGTGGGTGTCCTCAAAAATGTGTTTATGCAAGTTTTTCATTAAAAAATTCTTGAAGGTATCCTAATTTCTTGACATGTTAAGTGTTATAGTATGTAGAGAATCACCTTTAATTTTGTTTTTTTATTTAACTATATTCTTTTCTCTTTTTTTTTTCTAGGGTGAGTGCTCCTGTATACACTCCCGGTACATCTCCTAGTGACACGCTGCTATTGAACGAAGAGGATGAAGCGACATTACTGCGTACACACCTAGCTAAATTGACTCGTCGTGTAGTTATGTTAGAACAAGAAAACCAGAAACGAGCTCAACGGGACTTTATCATTTACCCTACACTTATCGGCTATATGCTGTGGAAAGTGTTAACATGGTTTTTTCGTAGCAATTGAATTCTATTCTGATCTCCCAGCCTCCATCTCTGTCAGTGATTGCGACGATATGGATAATAACAATGATATTAATTTACTTTTACTACAACTATATAATTAGGAGATACACAGAAAACTTATTCTGGTGTGTGTATGTGTGTGTATGTCATGCATTGATTACCACTACTACTATTACTACTAAATAATGAAAGGAACAAATGGGGGGGGTCTTTTTTTTCTCTACGTCAGCGTATCAATCAACCAATCTGTCCCCATGTACCTATCTCGGTTTGAGTGGTGTTGATTTGATGCTGTATCATTGATATTGGTCCTTTTTGTAAATTATCCAACCAACAAATCCACACTTATTAGTAATTGCTTCCCTTATCAGGATTGTTCCTCTTAAAATATGTAGTAGTTGATCTGCAATCTACACTGGAAAATATTCAGCATTTCCTGTTATGTATTATTTGTAGTACACTTTTTAAAATTTGAATTGAAAATAAATTGGGATTTCTGACAGTTTTAAATGAAACCAGACCAAGAGTAACAAAAAAAAACCTGAACGAAATGCTAACTTCTGTGAAAATGTCCTTCAAATTGAGAAGGCCTCTGATAATCTGGCAGACAACAGATGTATGTTCTCTCATACTCTTTATAGCTTGTTTGAATGGACAACAATGCAATTTCATGCCCCCCCCCCATATATACTTGCATCACTATGATAGTGTTTTCTGATCCTGTTCAAATAACAGTTGCCTACTTTCTGTGTTTATTGCTTCATTATGGCAAATACTTGAGAAATTTTAGCAGGTTCAAATGAAGGTGTTTACTGAAAGCTGAATTTAGTCATGCATTCAGACTATAAAGGTGATTAAAAGACACAGATGGTTTCATAACAAAAGAAATTTTAGTGGGTGGGATGGCTAATATAAGTAATATATCCAAACTCTACAACCTTCTTTAACAAATCTTCTAACTGATGCTTGTAGCTTATTAAGCTTGTTTATTCAGAGGATTTTCTGAGAAATGTATTTGTTTTTTTTTTTTTTGTTTTTTTTGTTTTTTGATTTAAATAATTTATTTTTACATGCAAGTAAAAATTCTGTTCAGGCATCAGTTTGGAATTGCTTTGTTGTAAAGGAATTAGTTGCAAAAATATCTGAAACTGTTTTTCTCTTATCCCTCCTCCCTTCATGTCCATATTCTTATATCACTGATCTTTTGGGGTCTAGGACTTCTTACTCAACATTCCTAAAATGACTCCACAACAGAATCTTTACAGCGTATATATTTCTTTGAGTGTAGCTGAATTCCACAAATCCTGAGTTCCCTCATAGTTCCCACCATCCGTGAACTGGGCAGCTTTTTTTCTCTCTCTCCTTCCAAGATTCACTGCAATCATTTTTCATATAGGAATGACTAAAAAGAGTGGATTGTGTAAAATGTTACAGAATTGTCTAAGAAACACAATTCCTTAGTCATCTGCTCGGCAATGATGCTGAAGTGAAACGTTGATTACTTTTTCTTCTCACTTGTATAGATTATGTGAATGTAATTATGTACATGACAAGAACTAGCCTTTTCAAATTTATTTTTAAGAAAACAGTTTAAAAAAAAATCTCATTAATTTCAATGAAATACTTCTGCTGATTTAGAGGTTTTTAATTTAAAAAAAAAATTTTTTTTTTTTCATTTAAAAATGATCTTTTTTGCAAATACCTATTGAAACCCAAAGTAACATTGGGGAAATATTTATGTGTATACTCTTGAAAATATGGATTGCTTTTGTTGAAAGCTACTCAGAGGAAAATAAACTTTAAAAAAAAAAATAGAATGTTTTTATATATTAAAAAAAAAAAAAATTATTTCCTTTTTATGTCTTTTTTTTTTTTTTTTTTTTTCTTCTCTCTCTTTCTCCTTTCTCTTTCTCTCCTCATCTGAAGATAATTTGATTCCATAGCTTTAAAATTTATGTATATTGGTTATTTTGTATCATGTTAACTATGCTTAATCTAAATTGAAAGATTACTCAAAAATTGAAATGTTTATCAAGGAATATTTAAGATTAACTCATTTTTGTTAGAATTTATGAAAAGGGAAAGATGGGTGATTTTCTGATGAGAATTTTAGTTTTTTAGACTGTCATATTTACATAAACTTTGTTTCAAATTCTGACTATATACTGCCATCTTGTCCTTGAGCAAGCCTGTCTTCTCCCATTCTTCTATAATCAATCTATTTGTAGCACATTTCCTGAAAGCTGACTCTCAAAATTATAATTATAAATACTCAGAATTTGGTTAACAATTAAAAAATGTGGTTGAATTTGTATTTGGACTATTGTCTTCATCTTCATTGTTATTATAACATTTCGGCTGTTGTGCCCTCTGGCCTTCCTCAGGTGTATGTTGATCTGGGTAACCTACAGGGAATCCTGAACTGGACCTTTTATTTAATCTACTGGAGTAAACTGTTCTTGTTCCACTGCCCCTGTCTAGGGATATTGTCTAGTTATTATTTTCAGTACAGCTTAGCTATTGCTCACTCTTTTCCACCAAGGCTAAGTACACACTGCTCGACCCAGAGATTGAACTCAACCACCATGTCACCAAATTCACAAGCCAACACTTTAATCCTCTAGGCCGATACCCTGTAGGTTAATGAGTCCAACCACAATTCTTGTTTTGCGAAACTAATATTACCTAATATTAATTTTCTTTGCCCAATGTAGTTTCAAATTGTTTAAGATTTTTTTTTTTTTGTTCACCATTCCTTTTATCAATATTTTTTCCTTTTTTATTCTTAGTTCAACTGTAACCAAAGAATTAAAAGTATATAAGTAGCTACTAAGTATTCCAGAATATAAGATCATCCTTTACTTCCTATTCTACTTTTTTTTTTATTGTCATATATTTTTGTGTATATTTTCCCTTTTATACACGATGTCATGGTTGAATGTTTACTCTGGACCAAGTTTATGAATTACTTTTCACTGTCTATTTTTCTGATCAGCAGGTTTCAATTCCTTTTCAATCAATTTTTTTTAATTTCTCTGACTGATATTGAATATAGCTCCCACCATTATTTTTTTTTCCCCCACTCCATTTTTCATTTTGATCAGTGCAATTTTCTATCACTCTATTGAAAAGTAACACTGTATAGAATCCCAGCATCTGCAGCTTTAAATAAGGCACCTAATCAGCACATTGAGACACATCCATGAATAAGTTTAGGAAGCAGATTAATGTTTCAATATCTTTGATATCTACCACAACTCTTATTTCGTGTTCAAGATTTGGCCTGTTGCTTGTGAAAACCATTAACATAATCAGGTTGGATAATGTTTATATCCTTTTGAGAACAATACATTTCTCAAAAAATCTCTAGAAACATTCCATGTATACTCTACTCTTTGGCTGCTAGCTGAAGTTCAACAAACGCATCTCTTTAATGTTGATCCCTCACTCTCAAAATATTCTAATTGATTTTCTTTAGTAAATTTTTTTATCTCTAATTAATAACTATTAATCATTATTAATTTTTGATTATCTTTATTTTTGGTTGCTTTTATTAATTCTAAATAGCAAATGAAATTAAAATGAAAGCTACACTAGTCAAAAATTAATACTGATTGACAAATACTTTATCAAATAGGATTTTAAGATCATAGTAACAAATGTTTTAATATCCACTGCCAAAGAGTATAAGATTCATCAAACTTAAATTTTCTCGTCTTGTAATACTATGATGTCAAATACGAGATGTTTGTTAAAAGAGACTTACTTTTTTAAAAGTAAATACCTTTTGTTTTTCTTATTGAGACAATATAAGATTTATTTTAGAAATGGTTTTGTTCTGAGTACACTGGCTATTTAAAGGGTGTTAGTGGGTAATTCAATTTACTACAAAAGTAATGGCCTATAATACTGACTTTAACTTTGCTAACCCTTTCTCTGGCAAAATCAGCAATTTTTTATGCAGTTATTACTTTATATCTTCCAATAATCACTTATGTTATTTTTTTTATACACACACACAGTCTTGAAGGACTTCAAAATAATCAGTTCAAGAACAATTGGATAATTTTCCCATCCTTTTATAAATCATTTAAAGGAATTTACAATAAAAGCTGTAATATGTTGTGATTCTGATTAATATTTTGACTGAAATATTAACTTATCAGAATATTCCATGGATAGTAATGATCTTTCATTATTGTACAGTTAATGAAATAATTTCATTTGGAGATTCAGGTTAATTTTTAAGTAGAATTTAAAAATTGCTAATTGATCTGATTTTAATTGTTGTTGCTCAGATTAATGGGCAAAATTCAAGATTTTCATTTTTACATGAAAGCTAGATTCATTAATTTGGTCTTTTTTTTTTTATATCAAACAAGCTACCACAATTAAGGAGGTTGTTTTTTTTGTTTTTTTTTCCCGCCACTTTGCTAAACTTTTGCTTGTGTAAAGTTAGCATTATAAAGAGCAGATAATTCTATAAGTTACTTAAACCAAAATTGAAATTGAAGGCTACAGCTGACAAAAATCAGCTGTAGCCTTCAATTTCTTTTTTATTTACATTTTGAATTTTCAAATTTCTTAAAAACATTCACATGTTGAGAATTAATTACCAGACATTAAAAGCTAAAAAGTATCATATTTAATTATTTATTTTCTTTTTAAGGCATTTTTGTCCTATAAATAAATAAAAAAAGAAATTCTAAAAAATGTTCACTTGCAAGCAAGTCATTCCTGTTCTAAAATCTCATTTTAAGTGTGCTGCTGTTCTCTACAAGTCTATACTAAATGTCTACATCAAAATAATTACCACTTGTATAACCCGGTGTTTTCGGTTTATTTTGTTTTTGAATGCTACTATATTCAGTCTAACTTTTTATTGCTAGATAAATAAAATTTGTTAATTACAAGTTATCTTACAGAGAGGGGGGATGAAGACTTTGTTTGCTTTTCAAGAAACAGCCACAAACAGATAATGTATGAATAACTTCTTACAGTTTATCACATACATGACCACTCACCTACTAATTATCTTGTACTTGTAAATTCTAATTTTTCTCCAAAATTGTTATTTTAAAATTGACAATAATATAAAATATCAGAGTAATTCAATGAATGGAAATTAGGAAGAATGTGTGTTTTCTTTGGAGTTTCTCAGCAATAACCACTTTTCAAACAACTAACCCAAAAGGATTTATATTCATTTTTATATTTCTGTATTATCCTATTCCTTTAAAAATGCACCCACCACTGATTACCTTCATTTCATACTGTATTGTTATGACAACAAATAAAAAAAAATTTTTTTATATATATATATATATATATATATATATATATATATATATATATAGACTCAAAATGGAATTGCAAGTCAAAAAAAAGAAAAAACATCTTGCTGAATTAATTATACCCCACTGGTTCCAGAGGTACAAGCCAAGTTTTCTAAGCAAGGAGGTAGACGGGTCTCTCCCCTTGGAAGGTTGACATAATGCAGATTTCTCTCTCTACTCTAATTCTTTGACTTTGTGTTGCATTATGCTTCTCTCTCTCTCTCTCCTCTTGCTATCCCTCTTCCCATCCTCTTGCTATAAATACATATTTAAAGTTGGCACTTTCTGATATGACATTTTTTTTTCAGATAATATACCAGAAGCTGTTTGTGATTGAGGTTCTTACCTTATTTGCACACACACATATTTTACTTTGAAATTGAAGCCATCTCAACATGCAGTATTCCTAAGTTATATTTACATATGCATGTTTCTGCTGTATAAAAGTGGTATTTCTAAGCTGCCAGAGCATTTTTATACTGCAAAAATATTAATCCATTCCTTGTTTAGGTGATTTGGCTAATCGAACAAGTTGTTCAGCCTTTCTTGACAAGGTGTTCACTGGATATTGATTAGTTTACACTCTGCCAAAATGATTGAACCTCTTTTGTGAATGGCATTAAACTTTGATTTGCCTGTTCATTTTATACCAATACAACTGGGAATATACAATTTGACACAGCAAAGGATTTTAAAAGTCCACATTGAGAAAATATTTTTTATTGTAGTAATAATGTCATCAGGCCTCTGGAATGGTTGTTACTCTTGTAGATTTCAATCTGTATGCCCCCCTCCCCCTGGAGTTTTATATAATATCATTTATGGACCTGCCATTATGAGCAAACAATTTGAGAATGCACAAATAATTTCATAATGCACAACTCTTGAACTCTTGATGTGAACTCTTGTCCAGACAATATCCACAACTCATCTCCAACATGGCTAAGTTCAAAGTTCAGTCTTTTGTTTTTACCTACAATTGTTATTAGGTTTTGATATGTGTATTCTTTAAATAATGAATGGTGTTGGGCTGCAAAAACAGGTAGTCTTTTCTATTCTTGTCTCTCTTA